ATTGATTTTCTAAAAATTACTTTTCAAACATATTTATTTCATCATTTAGAAACTTTCCCCAAAGTTTTACTATTTTTGGAATTAATTTGATATTTTTAACGTAATTTCAAAATCAGCCCAAAAACCTGTCACATGCCATGTATCAGTTCGCGGTCGACCGCCACGGTCGACCGCCAGCAGCAAATTTTTAGTATATGGTTTTTATGTGCTCGCGGTCGACCGTGACGGTCGACCTTGAAACCATCCAGAGACTTTCGCGGTCGACTGCCAGCTTTTAATTTCTAAACTCAGATTTTTTGTGCCTCGCGGTCGACCGCGAGATTTCCACGGTCGACCGCCGAACTCATGATTGTATTCCAGCGGCTAGTTTCTGATTTGATTCTCTGGGGTTTTTTGGTCATTTCAAGTTGGTTTTTGCTGAGTTCTTGAGTGGGTATAAATACCCCATTTCTCTTCTATTTCAGTAACCAAGAAAACCAAGAGTTTTTGTTTTTACAAGAAGTTTTAACAAAGGTTTAAGAGGCGCTTAAAGAGCTGTTAAGCTAATTTTCGTTAATCTACTTCAAGAGAAGCTTTCTATAACAAGAAGTGGCTTTTAATTCCTATTGGGATCATCATCTACTACTCTTCTTGTTTATTGAGAAGTTTTCTAAAACTCTTCCTTATATAGCTTACTATTTTATTTTTATTTATTTAGCTATATTTATTGAGTTGTATTATTTTCATTCACTGTTATCACACACACATATTAAGCTTAATATCTTCATACTATATTATGGGTATTGGTGTGTGATTTAGTGAGTGTGAGCTTTATTGTGTTCTCACTTGTTATTGAGAACAAATCATTGTATTTACCTTTTATTGTGAGAATCACTTATAATACACTTGTACACCGAGAGAAGTGTGAGGCGTGAGACAGGGTCAAGTCCAATAGGAGTGGCGTCGGTTGATGAACCTAGGGAGAGGTTACATCCGAGCACTTGAGGAGGAGGACACGGGCTAGGTTCCTACACTTAGTGTGTAAAGTGTGATTGCATAGTGTTTGTTGTGTGAGAGTTTTTCGGTAAGCTTGTAAACCGAGTGTGTAGAAGTTCTGGCTTCCAAACCGGATTGTGATTGTGAAGATCTCCTCGAGGTGAGGAGCGGGGACGTAGGTCGTGGTGACCGAACCTCGTAAACATATCGTTTGTTTGTGTTTTGGTTAGCGTACTTTTTATTTGTGCTTATTCATATCTCTCTTGCTCATATCTATCTTATATCATTCTTACAAGATCAAATTAATCAACATAATTTTAATTAGCTTTTAATCGGGATTAGATTAGCATAAGACCCTAATCACCCCCCTCTAGGGTCTAACCGTTTGCTTCATCCACGCGAAAGCCTCTCCCATGATGGACTTAACGGACTCAGAGTTTTCCACATTTTGTTTCCTCTTGAGCTTTGCCGCTTTCCTCCCTTCAGGCCTTGCTATAACATCATACGAGTCAGTCTTCAACTCGATGGGGGTCGCTGTCATGGAATTGTTTGGTGAGGAATCAGAATTTATGGTTCTTCTCGGCTGTGATCGAATCTTATTGTAAGTTTCCATTTGTTGGATCCACTTTTGATGATGACGCAACTCAACCCAGCAATGGTCAAACACGAATAGCTTACCGTAAAGAGATTGATATAATTCTTTTACTTCTACAGTCTACACAAGAGTTAAATTTAGAATAATCAAACATATAAGTTAAATAATTAAATTTAGAATAATCAAACATATAAGTTAAATATTTACATAAAAACATATAAGTTAAATATTTACATGGTCAATAATTCCCGTACCAGATCTTTGTCTTCCTTCAATCTGAGCAACGCACCCGCAAAACTTGTTGACAGACAGTTGAATCGTTGACCAACGGTGCATCATTTAGTTTGGTGTGCGGCTCGTTGGATCGGTGGAGTATTGGATAAAGTAGTCGTTAGCTCTGTGCCAGAACTTATCTTTGTGTTGCCCCGTACCTTGGATGGCGTCTTGGCTCGTGTTCAGCCAAGCAGACACAAGAAGCTTATCCTCGTGGAAAGTCCAATTTTTCGGACCGTGTGTAAGCCTTCTTCTTTGTGGTCGGTGTTTCTTGGGATGACACTTGTTGTGTTGCGGATTGCGATAACTCGATGAGGTTACCTTCTTCTACGACTTCTGTATAGAACGGCGAGTATAAGGTCGATCCTTCACCGTGAAGGAGTTGCGAATAGTAGTTGTTTTGGGAGGGATCCATGAGATTTGTAATTTGATAGGAAAATATAGAGTTTTTTATGAGAGAGTTGTATGGAATGATTTGTGTAGTGAATTGTGAATTTATAGAGTTTTTCTTACTGTTCAACGGTCATTTTTAACGGTATTTTTTCACTCAACGGCATTATTTTTCACTCAACGGTCATTTTTAACGGGCATTTTTCTTACTGTTCAACGGCATCATTTTCAACTCTGGTGGCTCATTTATTTCATTTATAGAATCTTGTGCAGCCAATTAAAAAAATTTTTACATAAAAACTCTTCATTATCTACGTCGCCCCAAATCTGAACCACCGCCGCCCATCGGATCTCTGGCTCCCCAACCCGCGGCCTCGGAGACTCAACCACCGCCGCCCATCGGAGTACAGACCAGCCGCCCGCGAAGCTGAAGTCCGTCGCCGCCGATCTCATCGATTTGAGACAAAAAGGTTCGATTTTTACTTCAATTTTGTGTAGATCTGCGAAGATTACTTGTTGGGGGGGTTCTGACGTGGCCTTGGGGCAGTTGGGAGCTCTCAAGCGCTCCACAAATTTGTGGAGCGCTTGGGAGCTCGGAAGCTCCCCAAAGCCACGTCAGCCTAAGGAGCGGAGGTTGGGAGCGACTAGGAGGTTGCTGGAGGGGGGCTGCTGTTTTCCACGGCCACGTCAGCCTTGAGAGATCTCTTCAGAGCTTGCTGCCCTTGCTCTAATGCGAACTGCGTTCCTATCTTTGTTGGTGTGTGCTCTTTTAAGATCATATGATTCTAAGTTGTACCTTCGGCTTTTCAATGAGAATGGGCTTCCTCTTAGGGGCTGTTTGTTTGCCTAAAAAAAAGTGGGAAATCAAAAAATAGGAACTTGTATTATGGTTGTTTGGTTGGGTAAAAAAAAAGGAAATCAAAGAATAGGAGATAAGATGAGATGAGTTGTCACTATATTATTGGATGATGTAAGTGATATTTTAAGAAAACTTATTTTGAGGTTGTTTGGTTGGTTAAAAAAAAGGAAATGTATTATAAGAAACATGTTTCCTATAATAGGTTCTTTTCTTGTGTTTGGTTCATTCTTAAAAATAAGAAAATAGATGAGATGAGATGAGTTGTCATTATATTATTGGATGATATGACCCATACTTAAGAAAATCAATTTTCTTGATTTTTTTGAGGAAATGGGTGAAAATGAAATGTTAATGAAATGAGATGAGTTGTCACCATATTATTGGATGGTGCGAGTGATTTTTAAAGATGAGATGAGATGAGTTGGATGATGTGACACATTTCTTGTGTTTGGTTTATTTTTAAAAATAAGAAATGAGATGAGATATGATGAGTTGGTGGATAAAAATAATATTTTATTGATAAAAGTGTATAGATTTCTTTTTCTTAGAGTGAGTTTTAGGGATGGAAATAGATAAAAATAATATTTTAATAAAAAAATACAAAGATTTTCTTTTCTTGGTTTTTAGGAAACCAACCAAACAGCCCCATATTGGAGTCTATACTCTTTGGTGCCACCTATTGAAATCTAGCTGCTAATGACCGATTTTAGGAGCAAGCAATACCTTCTATTTTTATGTAAAATCTTGGAAACAAATCCATTATTTGAAATGGGAAATGGAAGCTGTCGTATCATCACATTCTCTACAAAACTGAAGAATTTCGTAGAATTTGGGGAGAGTGGACTTACCCTCCCTAAACTTATAGAAAATAATTATATAAAATTTTTAAGAATTAAAAAAATTCAAAACTTTTCTAAAATTACTGACATCTATAATATTTTAAATACAAAATCAATGATGAGTGGAACGAATAAATTCGTCTACAACTTAGCGCACTATCTTTCAAATAAATAAAAAGATCTTAGGATGTCTTCTCAAATCATCAACTCCTCAGTACTTATAGGATGATCCTAAGATTCACTATTCATACTATAATAAATATTACAGTGAATCACTCTTGTATAAGCAGAATACTGTAGCATTTAGAAAAAAATATTGTGGCATTACAAAAAACAGGGTTAAAAAAAGAAATACTGTAGCAGAAACAAAAAAAATGGGCTGTACTTTACACGGGGTGCACACTAATAACATTCTAATCCACATTCCCGAGAAACAATATTTTCTGTGATCTAATCAAACGTATTGGATAATTACAGCTGTCATCAGTAATCCAACTAGTGTGAGTCCCGTGTGAAGCACGACCTTTCCTTTTTTTTATTGCTACAGTAATTTCGTGTTTTAATTGATACATTTTTTAAATGGCACAATATTTTTTTAAAATGCTACAGTAATATTTTTAAAAATCCTACAGTATCCCATCTTTGCTACAGTAATATATTTTAAATACTACAATACATATTTAATAATGCTACAGTATCCCGTCTATGTTGCAGTAAATTTTCAAAAATACTACAGTATTATGCAAATAGTAAATTAAAAATACTACAGTATTATGCAAATAGTAAATTACTGTAACATTTACTGTTGTATAAATAGTAATTTTTGAGTCCTCCCATTATTATATCCCATTATTAATGAGAAATAGATTATAGAGGAATAGATTAGTTGCACCCTTCTCCGATTCTAATAAAGTGGGGGTGAATGGATGCTGAGGGTAATTTCGTCAACGACCCTTTCAACGGTCGACCCTTTCAACCAAATTCAAATCACATTTGAAATTTTGAAAATGTAGCCGTTGAGTCATCCTCCTTTACCGACTAACCATCTTCCACTTTGTACATAAATTCTCTTTCATCCTCCTCCCAAATTCACTGCTCTCTCTCAATCAAATCACCCACATTTTCATTTCATTCTCTTTCTTTCTCAATGGCAGAGGTAGCGGCCAAGAGAGGAAAGAACAGGAAGGCCCTGAAGACAATTTCATCGAACGAAGCCAACATCTCTGCTGGCAAGATCTCTTCCTCCTTCAAGGAGAATGGTGAAGGCCTCGCTCTCGTCCTCTCACCACAGAAGAGCAGCAAGAATGCCAAATCGGTGACGGAGAGATCCTTGGCCGAGGAGTTGAAGAACGTGCAAAGGAGGCTCGAACAGCTAAAAATCGAGAAGGAGAAGACCGAGGAGCTCCTGAAACAAAGAGATGAGATGATCAAGTCGAAAGAGGAAGAGCTTGAAAGCAGAGCAAAGGAGCAAGAGAAGCTTCAGAAGGAACTCAAGAAGCTGCAGAAGATGAAGGAGTTCAAGCCCACAATGGTATGGTTTGATTGCCTTGGGTTTCTTTTTCTTTTTGTGGTTCTATTTCAATTCTTGATTTGATATTTTATGGGTGATTTTTCCTTTGTTGACAGAACTTGCGCTTTGTCAAGTCTTTGAGGGAGAAGGAGCAAGAAAAGAATGAGAAAGAGAAGAACAAGAAGAAGAACAAGGACTGCCCAGGGAAAAAGAAGCCCTCTTCTGCTTACGTCCAATGGTCCAAAGATCAATGGAATAAGGTAAAATGAAGAAAAAAAAAATCCATCTCTCCTTTAACTTCTTTTCTTTGATCAGAAGTTCATGGAAATTTTCATGTCAATATATTTTTTGTTTTAGTTCAGGAACGTGAATCCAAATGCTTGTTTTAAAGAAACTAATCAACCTTAGTAGTCAATTGACGCCACCAGTGTACTTTATCTTAACGACATTAATGAGAATCATCTTATGGGTTTTTCTTATGTAGTAAAGCGAATTTACTATTGGTCATATTCTCTTCATATCAAGAATTTGTTGAATTGTGATATAAGCAAAATTTGAAAGAACTCATAGTATTCAGAGCTAACCGCATTTCCATACAAATCTTTATTATTTCTATCCTACTATTGTAGGTGAAGACAGAAAACCCAGATGCTGAGTTCAAAGAAATTTCCAACATTTTGGGAACAAAATGGAAGAATCTGAGTGCCGAAGAAAAGAAGCCCTATGAAGAGAAGTACCAACAAGAAAGGGAAGCATACTCGCTAATTATTGGAAAGGAGAAGCGAGAGAGCGAAGCAATGAAGCTTTTGGAGGGAGAGCAGATGCAGAAGATAGCAATGGAATTATTAGAACAATACTTACAGTTCAAACAGGATGCGGTGAATGAAGAAGAAAAGAAAACGAAGTAATTAAATTAATCCCCTTGGGTATTCCATGATCACCAATTTGGCCACTGTTTAATTTTTTTCTGTTTAATTGCTCCATCACAGGAAAGAAAAGGATCCTTTGAAGCCCAAGAAGCCGATGTCAGCGTTCTTCTTGTTCATAAACGATCGCCGTGCAGCACTTCTTGCAGAGAAAAAGAATGTTCTTGAGGTATTCACAATCTAATTTCATCGAAATGGTCAAGTAGTATCTAGTTATTTGGGTGATAATTACATTACGTTACTTTGCAATGTGACAGATCTCTAAGATTGCTAGTGAAGAATGGAAAAACATGACAGAGAAAGACAAAGCTCCTTATGAAGAGGTCTGACAGCACTTAAAAGTTCAATTGCTTTTTTGATCTTTTGATTTGGATAATAAAGTAATTTAATTTAATTTTGCTCCATCTCTTGTTCTTAGATTGCGAAGAAGCAGAAGGAAGGGTATAACATCCAAATGGAGGGTTACAAGCAAGAGAAGCTCGAAGTAAGAACTTGGTAGAATTATCCTTCACTGATTTTCTAATTTCTGAACATACAAAAATAATTTTGAATTATAAAATAAACAGGAAGCTGCAATCCTTGAAAAAGAAGAGGAAGAACAGAAGAAAATAATGAAACAAGAAGCTCTCCAGCTGCTCAAAAAGAAGGAGAAAACAGAGAATATAATAAAGGTGCTTATATAGTTATATTCATCCCAACTTGTTATTACGTTCAATATTTTGAGCAAATTGCAGAGAAATTTAACTGTTTTGCTAATGACAGAAAACAAAGGAGACTAAGAAAAAACAGAAAGAAGAGAAGAGTTCTGATCCTAACAAGCCCAAGAAGCCAGCCTCTTCTTTCTTTCTCTTCAGGTTTAAACATTATAACTTACTCTCTATCATGCGATATGTATATCGTCATGAGAAGTGAAGAACTGATTAGAATTCAATCAATGTTGCAGCAAAGAAACAAGGAGAGAGTTGGTGCAGGCACATCCAGATGTTGGCAACTCTACCCTCAATGCCATGATTTCTGTGAAATGGAAGGTGATAATTTTGTCTGTCATTAAAACCACAATCACAAGAGTGTGTAGTAAATTAGACATCTCTGAACAATTGTTTCTCGTTCGTGCAGGAATTGAGCGAGGAAGAGAAGAAGATATGGAATGATAAAGCAGCCGAAGGAATGGCGGTGTACAAAAGAGAGATCGAAGAGTACAACCAATCGATTGCTACTAATGTCGCTTCTAACTAATGAGCCATCCTCCTTAGAGATCGGTTCAATTGTGTTGAACGAGCCCAGCTTCCTTGCAGAATTTGTAGTTTTGAACCTCTTCTTCAATTTGATAAATGAGCTGGTGCAGAATTGGTGCAGAATTTCTCGATGTTTGGAAATGTTTTCACAATATCAACTCAGATTTGCTCATGTTCTATCTCTAAGAGGTGAAATCATCATGGTGGTAGGCAATCACAAGTTCATATTTACTTATGGATATGAAGGAACCTGTTAATGAGCTTCTTACAGTTACAGGGATAAAATCACAGCTTCATATTTTACTTATTGATGAAGGAAGGAAATAATGAGATCTTGCATTTTCAGTGGGAGTTGCATAGAAAAATAAAAACTCAGGTTAGGCGTTTTGGGAAAAATCTCACCTGCTCACACAAGCGGGGGGCACGTGCAAGTATTGTTATGCGTAGTGGAAATTTCGGCAGCACCTCCGGTGCGCAAGGTGCACAACAAGAGATTAATCACAACTAAATTCCCGTTTCACAAAGAAAACAAGAACCGAAAGCAAAATATCTCAACAAAGTGAGATATCAGCTCTTCCTCTCATCAATTCTAGGACTGACTTATCGAGGGAACCTACAAGCTATTACAAAGCACAACAAGACAAACTATTTTACGTGGTTCGGCAAATAGCCTACGTCCATGGGACAAGGAGGGGGGAGATCTACTATTAGAGGGAGAGAATGTAACTAGGGTTTCATAAATTTTAAACCCTCAAACTAACTCTAAAATCTCTCACTCTCTCTCTCAAAAGAGCTAAAAGGAGCCTCTGATCCTCAGCCGACTTTCTCAGCGGTTCCTCCTTGCGCACCACCAAAACATCCAAATGTCCCACTTGTTGTGTCAAGTACGCCATAAAACAATTCACGATAACGGACTAAATCCACAACAAGTCGAGAACCTGAACGAGAGTCCAAACAATCTCACCCCCATTAAATATCAACTAATCCAAACCGACTGTATCGGACTGCGGCCTATGTATCATCTTTCCCAAGGAATCAAGCCTAACGTAGTTCACCCAATGACCTCCAAAGCTCTAAACACTGAAGAATGTTTAAAAGCTCTAAACAATGACCAAACTTCACACCTGAAACAACTTTGGTCAACATATCTGCAGGGTTATCTTTCGTGTGGACCTTCTCCAATATGACGTCTCCATCATCCAAAACGTCACTAACAAAGTGGAATCTAACATCGATGTGTTTCGTGCGCGCATGATAAACCTAGTTCTTCGCCAAATTAGCCAACATGCTATCACAATATACCCGAATGGTCTTCTGTACGATCCTCAGGTCCTCCAAAGCCTCCTTAACAACCTCAGTCACCGCCATATACTCCGCCTCGGTAGTAGAGAGCCACTATGGATTGAAGTATACATTTCCAACATACAGGTGTACCTACCAATGTAAAACCATAACCTGTAGTAGACCGGTACTTGTCAAGATCTCCAGCATAATCCGAATCTATGTAGCATATACAATCATATCCATTCTTCTCATTCTTCTCGAATACCAAACCAACATCCACGGTGCCTCAAACATACCGTAGAATCCACTTCATGGTCTCCCAATGATTCTTCCTGGGTCCGTGCATGTACCTCGATACCATGCTCACGGCCTGTAATAAATCTGGCATCGTACACACCATTGCATACATCAAGCTACCTACTGCACTGGCATATGAGACCTTCGACATGTAATCTCTATTTTTAACTGATACATGTGACATACTAGCTAAAAGATTGAAGTGGGGGAGCCAATAGAGTGCTAACTGCTTTTGCATTACCATCAAAACTGAATTTCTTCAATATTTTCTGTAAATAACTCTTCTGTGTAAGCTTCAATCTCCCATTCATCCTGTCTCTCTTGATCTCCATACCCAATATCTTTTTTGTTTCTCCCAGATCCTTCATCTCGAACTCTGATGACAGCTCCTCTTTTAACTTTTGAATAGCCGAAGAATTCCTAGAAGTAATAAACATATCGTTAACATATAAAAGCAAATATATGTGTCCACCATCCTGTAGCTTGTGCATGTAAACACATGAGTCATATGGGCTCCTCGTGTACTCTCGGCCAATCATAAAGCCATCAAATCTCTTGTACCATTATCGCGGCGATTGCTTCAATTCGTAAAGAGACTTTTTCAGCTTGCTCACCAATTCTTCCTTTCATGTAGTTTTAAACCTCATAGGTTGTGTCATGTAGATCTCCTTTTCTAAATCTCAATGTAGAAAGGCTATCTTAACATCCATCTGGACCAAATCTAAATCCAGCTGTGCCACCAACGCTAATAAAATTCGAATCGACGAATGCTTCACAACGGGTAAAAATACCTCGTTGTAACCAATGCCCTCAAGCTATACATATCCCTTGGCAACTAATTTGGCTTTGAACCGAATGTCCCTAATAGAAGATCACTCCTTCTTCGCATATACCCACTTGCAACCAATAACTTTTTTACCCTTAGGTAACTTTGCAAGTTTCCAAGTGTCATTCTTCTGAAGAGATCGCATCTCCTCCTCTATAGCTTCACTCCACCTGATCGAATCAGGGCTAGACTTTGCCTCTCTGAATGTGTATGAAACCACATTATCAACGACCTCTACTGATAATGCATATGGACCATGATATCATTATACCTAGCTGGCCGACAAATCACCCTTCTAAGTCTATTCGTTTCAATAGACTCTTGAACATGGCCCTCCTCCTGAGTCTCACAATCCACTGTATCCTCTATCTGCCCGGATGTCATCTCATCTCCTCCCAGTGTCACGTCTGTAGGAGCCTCGATGGATACACTGCTCAATGGAGTGACTGAAGTCACATCATCCTCCACCTGCTACTATATCTCCCGAATCTGGTCTTCCTCCACCTGCTGAGGAACTTGAGGCTTAATCATGTACGCCTCGTCAAATGTAACATCCCTGCTAATAACTATCTTCTTATCCTGTGGATCCCATAACTTAAAGCCTTTAACCCCATCTCTAAATCCTACAAAGACTGATTTCCTTGCCATCGGATTCAATTTATCATCACTGGCATGGTAATAAGCAGGACACCAAAATATTCGAAGCGACTCATAGTCACTAGCCACCGAACCAGACCAACGCTCCAACGGAGTCTTCTCCTGTATCATAGTGGATGTCAACCTATTCACGAGAAGGCTTGTATGAACCAACGCCTCGGCTCAAAAGGATCTAGGCAATCCATTCTACGTCATCATACATCGCACCTTCTCCAGTAAGGTATGGTTCAATCTCTCAGCTACCCCATTCTGTTGCGGTGTATCTCGAACTGTGAAGTATCGTCTAATGCCGTAATCCTGACAAAACTGTAGAAACGGATCATTCTTATACTCTCCATCGTTATCTGAACGTAGAGTCTTCACCTTTCTACCTGTCTGCAACTCCAATTTCTTTTTTCACTACACAAAAATATCCAGGACCTCATGTTTATACTTCATAGGGTGTACACAATTTTTTCTAGAATAATTGTTAATGACAGTGATAAAATAGTTAGCCCCACCAAGTGATGTGTTCTTGAAAGGACCCCAAATATTTGTGTGAATGTAATCCAATGTACCTTAGGTGTTGTGAATAGCGGTGCCAAACTTTACTCTAGTCTTCTTCTCAAGTACACAATGCTCGTACATCTCCATCTTGTAGGTCTTAGCATCTTTCAACAGCCCCTGTTTCACCAATGACTGCAGGGACTTATATCCTGTGTGACCTAGTCTCATATGCTATAATATGATAGTGTCTTCCTCTGTAGTGATAGAAGTTGTCAGACCCCTTGTAACTGTCTTGCCCTTTAAGTAGTATAAAAAGTTTTCCCTAACTCCTCGAATCACCACCATAGAACCCTTCGTGACTTTCGTTGTAGCATCCTCTAAGGTCACCCGATAACCAGCTGCCTCCAAAATATTAAGATAAATGATGTTCTTCGTTAATTGCGGTATGAACCTTACTTCTTTCAATTTCCTTACCTTTCCATCATGCATCCTAATCCGGACTGAACCAATACCACCAATAGGGCATACATGATCATTTCATATAAGCACGACGTCCCGTCTTTCCAGCTCCTCAAATCCAGAGAACCAATCCCTCCTAGGGCATATGTGGTATGTAGCTCCTGAATCCAACATCCACTCCGTGGAGTCGGCATAGCAAATCGACGGTAGTGTAAGACATAAATAGCCCGAAGAATCTGACTTTGAATGATCATTAATAGCTTTTGCAACATTCACTTCTGAAGTTTTTACAACTTTTCCTTTATTCTTCATGGCTTTATCCTTCAACTTTGGGCAGTCGATCTTCCAATGTCCCTCTTCTTTACAAAAGCAACATTGATTCCTACCAATACTTTTATGACCACTTCTATTCTTTGATTTTGAGCAGTTAAACTGGCGGTTGTATGGATCACGGCCTCAAACTGCTAATGCATCTCCTGATGCCTTCTCGGAGGGTTCACCATCACTCTTCCTCAACTTATAATTCACCAAAGCTGAGGTCACCTCCTTATAACTAACAGTAGTTCTTCCATTGATCATAGTGAGAACGAACGTACCGTAATCATCCTCGGGCAATGAACACAAACGTAATATCGCCTTGTCTTCATCCTTAACCATGATATCCATATTGGTCATATCTAAAAGCAGCTTCGTGAAATTGTTGACATGCTCCATGATGGAAACTCTCCTCTTCATATTTAACTGCTAAAACCTCTTCTTCAAGTGAAACCGATTCTCAATGTTCTTAGTAAGATACTTCTCATCGAGTGTTTCCCACATTCTCTTCGCCGACGTCTCGTTCATCACGTCATAAATAAGATCCAACATCAAGCATGACCGAATAACTCCACAAGCCTTACTATTCATCTTCTTCCAAACCTTGTCCCATGTCTTTGGGTTTGTCTTGTAACTCAAGAGTCTCCTCCAAATTCTGTGCATCCAAGGCGTCCATCATCTGACACCTCCACAATCCAAAATTAATCTTGTTGTCAAACTTCAGAACATCAATCTTTGTGTTATTGATGCTTAGACTCTATATCGCCTTCGTAAGAGACAAAGCTGATGTGCTTGCTTCTCCTATGTTATCGATCTAACTCTTCAGATAGAAATCCTTCACTAAATTCTTCGAACAAGCTCTAAGCCTAACCTGTAGCTCTGATACCACTTGTTATGCGTAGCAAAAATTTTGGCAGCATCTCCGGCGCGCAAGGTGCACAACAAGAGATTAGATCATAACGAAATTCCCGTTTCACAAAGGAAACAAGAACCGAAAGCCAAATTTCTCAACAAAGTGAGA